AAAAATTAAGCTGTTGATTTTTTAATGTTTAATTTCTATTAATGATATATGTAGATATATATAGATATATTTTTCTTTAATTGCGCAAGATCTTGTAATATGTTTTTTAATTAAACTCTATAGTTTAACACGTGATTTTTTTCTTTTAAAAAAATAATATACGAATCATAATTGATCATGAAGTAAGAAAATGATACTTAAAAAAAGAGTCTATTATATTACGCTTTTTTACGTAATGTGTTTGGTGTGAGAGATACTCATAGAATCATATATATATATATATATATATATATATATATATATATATATATATATATATGGTTTCTTGCTTGTTTCAGGTCATTTTTTCAATCCTCAAAATTAACGATTTTTGAAAAATGACAGACCACTTAAAAGAAAATAATTATATTGACCTTACGCAACCATCGATTTTAAATGAATTAGACTATGAAAAAGAAGATGAAAAAAAAATTGAAATTTTTAAAAGTTTTAATACTCATGTTAATGAATGTATTAATCTTATCGACGACATTGACAAAGATGAAACTAGAGACGATTCAGTAAATATTATTTCGCACGTGATTTTAGAAATTACGATCGTGTGTTATCGTTATCTGTTATTTATTCTCACACACACATATATATACGTATACATTTTTTTTCCTTTTATGAAGAATGGCATTGGCTTTTGTGGCTTAACTCCAACTAGAAATGTCGGTTCATCGGCAGAGATCAAAAAGCAAGAAAACTTCTTTAAAGATGAAATTCACGTATATAATAGATATAATATAAATTTATATTATTATATATATACTGTATATACATATATTCATAAAAATAATTTACATTTTTAGATATTTCGGAAAGACTTAAAGAAACCATTGGATAACGACTCTGATAATAACTCTAATAATAACTATGATAACTCTGATAATGACTCAGGTGAAAGTGACCTTGACGAAGGTTTTTTTTCTAAACTTACTTTTGGGCCATCAGCAAGATTAAAATTTTTCAAGGATGAAGATTTCAAGGATGAAAAAGACTTTAAAGCTAATGAAACTAATGAAACTAATGAAATTAATGAAATTAATGAAATCAATGAAATTGTTAACAAAAAGCGTAAGAAAAAACCCCGTAGAGTCATTCCTTGGACAAAAGCAGAGGAAGGTCAACTAATGCAAGCAATAGAAACTCATGGAACTAGATGGAGTATGGTAAGAGAAGCAATGGGGTGCAAACGCGCCGCCTATTGCTATCAAAGTCATTGGAACGTAATGAAGAAAAGATTGTGACAAAATAATGTTCATCTCTTAAATAAGAGGAATATAATAAATTTGTATGCGATTCATTAAAAAAAAAAAAAAAAATTGTTAAAAAAAAATGTACAAATGTGATATATAATATTCTCTAAATTACATTTGAAATAAAAATTCGTTATATAAAAAAGATTTATAAATTTATAAGATTTATAAATTTGTTAAGCTCGATTTGTCGGGTGTTCCGACTTTTCCAACTGTTTCTCTTTTTTCCCCACATTTTTAAGTCTATCTCCTACATTACGATAATGTGGAACTCTTCCTTGTGGATAAAACTTTTCAGTTCTAAATCTGTATTGGAAGAGCATACCAAGAATAAATGCAACAACCATAGCTGCCAACATAATATAAATTTTAGGATTTGTTTCATAAGATGGAAGATTATGATTTCCATTTCCATCTAAAAAGGTGACAACAGATTGTGCAAATCCTGTGCGAACAAACATATCAACTCCAAGGATTATAGCATACGCGCCTATAAAGGCTGTTGCCGCTATAATGATTGCATCAAAGAAGCAGCACGTGAGTAGTAACCCAATAAGTGTACAAACTACAATTAGAATTATCCTTCCACTAGATGAATGTATTACACCACCAGAAGCCCACGCGAGTATAAATAAGGCAAATAAGTAACCAGCAAGTGCTCCTAATAACCAAATTGCTATTTCCGCACAACAAATGAACAGCAATCCAAGGAATAAACCTGCTGCTAGGGAAACGAGTAAAATAATCGTTGGGCTTTTGGTTCCACTAAATCCACTGGGTGGTTCATTATTAGTGAGTGCCATCCATGTAGTAATGACTGTTTAAGAAGAAATTTAAATTTTATTTAAATTTGTATCATAATAACAATAATAATTATTAATAATTAATGATCATAATAATTTAAAAACATACCTCCTATATAAAATCCAATCAAGAATAATGTAAGGTAGTATACCCTTCTTCCGAAGAAGCAATAAATAATTCCGGTAACGATGAGAATGATACCCACAACGATTTCATGAGGTGTAAGGTCACTTGAACTTTGAGCGACGGTAGTAGTCGGATTAGAAATATTGGGGTTAGAAAGGTCAGGAACATTAGGAATATCAGCGGGTACTGCATTAACTACATTGGTAATTGAAGAAAGTACACCAAATAAGAAGCCAAAAAGTAATATAAGAGATGACGACCACTTTGGCGCAGGAAAAGATTTGTACATTTTTTTTTTTTAATAAAAAACCAACTGATGAAGTACTAGAAAAAAGCGGATGTTTTTTATCGTTTTATAATTTTACTTAAGGTTAAATCATGTGAGAAAAAGTGATAAAATAATGTAGCGATAGCCACTAACTTTTGTCGGAAAATAAAAAAAATCAGCCGCACATATATATAGTACATACATACAAGACACTGCCAAGTTGTAACACAATAACATCACAATTACATATGATGGACTATATAGAATATTAAAAGGTTAGTTTAAGGATTAGAAGTATTTTCCATTTCCACACAGAATCTTTATAAATAGTTCCGACCTAATTAATATTTGGCTAAATAATTAATTTCTTGGCCTATATATTTTGAGAAAATTTTCCTATGAATTTATACCGGATCAAAGGGATCAAAGGGTAATGAAATGAGATTGCCATGCTTGCGTCATATATATATGTTTCATAAGAATTTTACGTTTACTTGAGTTATTTGGATGAATTCATACAATGATTCAAATTTTTTTACTTTTTTGGCTAATTTACTAATAATACCTTATTGAAAACCTTAAATGTCAATAAAATAATATGGTGATTTTTACGAGTGTAAATAATTTGGTGATACTTTCCTTATTTAAATCCTATTAAGATCGGTCTGGCATTTTATATACTTATAATCAACTTATATCAACTTATGTATTTATGTATGTACTGACCATACATTTGTACATATATATCAATTTTAATTGGTATTTAATTGGTACGTATGTATGTACGTGTAATTGGGTGGGAAGTTAACGTAGGTGACTATAGAGAATGTTGATTGTGATAACAATTGTAGCGTTAGTTATAATAATATTATTACTCTTTTTTGCCACTTCTTATCTATAATGTTAAAACAAAGAGTCAAGTGTCCTTATTGTTATCGTTACACCTCTTTATCAAAACGATATCAAAACGATATCAAAACGATATCAAAACGATATCAAAACGATGTGAAATTAATTCACATGATGTTTAATGATGTTTACAATGGGATTTTTAAGTTTCTTGTGGTACTTTGCATTAATTTTTAATAATTTCCCAAATGATTTTCCATTGACTCAACCTGTTTAGACCATCTCAAACAGTTTGATTACATATTAACTTTTATTAAACTTCATACTCATCCCGGTAATTTATTGAATGTTAAATTATTCTGGTTAATCATTTGGGGACGCCATGGACATTTGATAAATTCTGTCAAATTGTAGAAATGTTATGCGTCATTTCTTAATTAATGTCAATTTGAAAATAACATACGTTTTAGAGTACCATCATGAAATCATGTTTATGTAGCTGAAACTCATGTGAAAATCATGTGGAAATAGCAAATTTTTACATTTATCATAAATTTAACTTCTCTTCAAGGATTTACGCAATCTGTGAAAATGATGGAATTATTATATCTTAATCTTATTCATTAAGACTAGTGAATGGAGTTCCACAAGGTTATAATCGCTAAATAAACTCATTATAAACTCATTATAAACTCATTATAAAATTATAAACTCATTATAAACTCATTACAAAAAAGGTCAGGTGATAGATTCGAAAAAGAATCTCATAAAATTGCTATAAAATATCTAACGCTAAGCAAATGCTCGACCTTACTGTTCATTTATGCGTGTCTTTAGAAGTTACTCTTTTAGATTTTCTTTAATGTTTGTTACAATCAAATATTTAATAAAGATCATGATTAAAGTGAGTGAGAATAGGCAGTAAATAGACAATTGTGCTTGTGATTATAGCGAAAAGCTGTCATATAATATTATAATATATAAATTAGATAACTCTTAAAATACTTTTAAAGTATCACAGCATCCGATGACTTACAATATGTACAACAAATAAAAATTCTGTAAAAAAAAAATTTATATACAATAAACTGTAATATTGACGTTATTTAATTAATTTCAATCGTCAATCCAACACGTTAATTTTCGTTAATTTTCGTAGATCGATCATAACGATAAATAACTTACGTATTAGGATCCTTCTTAGTTAAAATGCCTTTTTGGGGAAATTATATAAAATATATTCCTAATTAAGCGCCTAACTAAAAATAGCCTCATTCGTTATTCTAGAATATACTAAAAATAAATCTCTATACAGTTAAGACTTGTTTGTTGTTCTAGAATATACTAAAAATAAATCTTATACAATTAAGTAATAACAAGTATTTACTTTTATCCTTCTTAGATATCCGATATCCGATTGATACGTACTACATTCGTACTGTACATACGTATAATAAGTATCTAAAGCTTTCTTCTAATGGATTATTAAAAGTGGCTTAATAAGACGCAATTCCCGCGATGAATGCGCCAGGCGGGAAATTTATAATGCCAAGGCAATGTAGGCAATGTCTTGGTACGTATTGTATTGGTATTGCTGTACTATTGTATTGGTATTGTATATACTATTGTATTGGTATTGCTGTATATACCGATACTTATCTAAATTTAGAGATACGTATACCAAAATTGTTTACTTCGTACGTACGTACGTTGATAGTTTACTTCAACAGATTCTAAATTTAGAAATTTTGATAATCGAGCTTTTATGACAGATTTTAACAAAATTAGCATAAGCTTTATCGATATGTTTGACATTTTTGACCATTCTAAAATTGACATGTAAAAAAAAAAATTTTGTCATCTGATGTTAAGTGTAACAAATTGTTTGAGATGAATCCATATCGATCGATATTTGAAGCCGTGTGTGAGACTAAACTAATGCACTGCCTTTAACGTTAATGTTAGTACTCTAACCCATAATATCTATATCCTCCTCCGGATAATCTCAACCATTTAAGAATATTTAAGTATATTTAACGGTTAAGGGTGCCAAAAGTAAGTAAATAGGTTATATACAGGTATACAATACCCGTCTCTGATTGGTTACTTATGAGTGTTGTCGCGGGATATCTTTTGACTAAAGTTTGACAAAAAAAAATAATTTTAAATTTACTTGAATTTCTATTATAAATTTATTTCTATTATTTAGGTATATAATATATACGTAGATAATTTTAATATATATATAGATATATATATATATAGATTAGACAAGTCTGGACAAACATATACGTATAACATTTGTTCCATGGATATACCAAATTTTAAATCGATACTAAATACGTATAAGGATAGACTAATTTACATGATTTTTAAAGCAATTAATTTTTATACCATTGGATACCAATGTTGGCTACATAATTGTAGGCGTGGTACGCGTCATTAGTCTTTAAGCCACATGGTTTTTAGTCAATTGCTAAGCCTGCTGACTAAAAAGTATTAACTAAGCATCTTGCTAACTATATAATATAGTAATACGTATTTATAATTTATTATATTCGTGATTTCTATGTCGATACTATTAATATATTGCAAAATGAAAAAAAATAATATTTACGTATTATAAAACGTTCCTATATTTGGTGATTTGGCATCTATTATCTGTTTTTATTATGTTTTAAAAAATTTTCACGTTAGGGTTAGTATTTAGAATTAAGATTTGAAAAGGGTTTTTAGGGGCATAGAACATTTTTACTTAGAACACTCCGTACCGATTAATTAGCTAGTTTTTGAGATAATATATTTCATAGGTGTAAAACACCATAGCATATAAAAGTCAAAAAAAAAAAGGATTTTTTTATATTACTTAAATTCCGTATTATTGGTAATAATCAAATTTAATTAATTTTTTGGTCTCCAAATTTATGTTTTAGGTTCAAAAAGTTATTGTTTATTTCTTAATGATTTTGAATTCCCTAAAGAAATTATTGGCACTCCGATCTATAATAACAATGTGTCTACCCTATTTCCCCATAAGTTTAACCAACAGTATCAGGCTGTCAAGAAAAAGCTTTGAAACGAATCTTAGAATTCTGAAATGATACGTAGCGTACTACTGTACTATTACAGTGATATGAATGTGTTAACCAATTAATCGATTAGTTGTAAAGTTGACAACTAATCGATTTGAATTTTACAGACCCAACTTAGTCGATTAATCGATTA